GAAGCTGAAATCAAATAAAATACAACTATTAGACGATAAACTTCAAATTTGAAATGTTGCCTTGGCAACTAACTGAAATAAGTTAAAGTTGAAGCTCTCACATTTAAACACTGGTGTAGGGTCATTTACCTCTATAACGTTGGAGTCCACGTATCCCGGCAGTCTCTCATCTTTACAAATCACTCCAGCGTCCTCATCATGAGTGCAGTCACTGTTGCCCCAGCCACGAGACTTACACACCGACACACTCCTTTCACTGCCACTGCACTGCACATTGTCTAGCCAAATCTTCCCTGAAACAAACACAAACTCTCTGAGCACATACCAGGCATGCAGATATCGCTTTATATCTGGTCTGAGTGAATGTGGTCACATTTACCTGTGCCCTTCCCATACTTGGCGCTGTGTGCCCAGCCCGTGGCGGACACGAAGCCAAGCTGGCGACAGAGGACATGGGCATTGGCCAGTGAAAAGTCATCATCACAGATGGTCCCCCACTCGCCTTTGTAAAACACCTCAATTCGCCCCTCGTTGTGTTTCCTGGGGAAACCAGACAGACGGAACTTCAGAGTCTCTGGGCCCTGTGCCGTCAGAGGGGTCGGTGTGGGGCTTGAGCGTACTGGCGCTGGGGTTTGGGCAAAGCATGATTGAATCCAAGCATTATGTACGACGACAACAATGTGTAGCAACCACTGACACGGCTCCATGTGTGGCTGTACAGCAGGGAATAGAAACAAAGCGGGGAAACACGGTTACTGTTGTGTGAGTGCGAATGTTGTTTTGATTTGTGTGTGCAAAAGTGCTCACAGAACATGCTCCAGCTCACTGTTAAATTTATATTGCATGTTGGTCACTTCTACAGCAAATTCAATGAGATAGGATGAAGCTAATTAAATATGTCATGAGTCACATTTCACTGCAAAATTGGTTAAAGACAATTTAAGTCACCATGAAATCATAATGATTCGTAATAACTTATTTTTTAAATGAATATTGCTGTATTTATTGATATATTCATGCACATCTTCATTTTTTCAATTCATTTTCCCTCGCAATCTTTAACCAAAATAACTTTCCCTTCCACTTGCAACATCTCTTCTCTGATGACGCATTTAAAGGCGCATGGGCACTTGTCACTCACATGACATCACAGCAACCATCCAATTAATTCCTGATGGACAAAATCAAGTCCTGAACTACATTTTTTCTTGTTCGAGAAGCTGTTTCACGTTTAGTTAATACACGTCAAAATAGGGAAGAAAAAACTATTACACAACTTCTGATTTCTGCAGAAATTAAGCCTATTTTTAAGGGGGGTTTCTTTGCCATAACATAACTTAACATAACGTGACATAACTTTTAAGATAATTAAGCACAACCCACCCTAAATTCTCTTTATCATGAAATTATTTCTAATTACTGTTAAAAAAAAAAAGACTGCACAGAAAAAAAAACTGGTGTTGGATTTACTGCGAAACAATTTTCATTCAGAAACTGCTAGTAAATTTTGCAAAGAAATGGCAAGTAACACACTGAATTAAATATGAAATAGAAAGACTAAGAATTTTCTTGTAAAATATACTCCATTAATAATTGTTTTATTAAAAAAAAAATATGGTGGATGGCAAAATGAGTCTCAGATGTGATTTCTTGAGATTTACCCACAGATCAAAGGTTTATGCATGTCTCCTAGATTCCCAACACACCCTGGGGTACCCGCGTATTGTAGTAAAAGTGGGTAGGAAACTGACAACTACTGATGAGGATGATAATATAACAGCCCCTCACCAGTGCGGTTATGGGATTTCACTAATGTAACAACAGCTTAACAGACAAGTCATTCTGGAGCCATGTAGGCCACAAAGGAATGTAAATCTTACAGACCCGTTACCCAAACACGTGGCCTTCAACTGTCAGCTTTGGGACTAGTCAGCATCTTTGCATTACCTTCATTTGAATATAGCCATAACAAACTTAAATCCATATAAAAACTTCACTAACCCTGCAGATCCTCATATAAGGGTGATTCCCTAATATTTCCTTTAAATATAGCCACTTTTGGCCCAGTGAACTTTAAGAAAATAGACTTTTAAAACTCACTTTTCAAATAGCTTTACATAATTTGGGCACACTTTATATTAGGTGGCCTTAACTTAACTATGTAGCTACATGTTGATGCATTGTAATTACATACTTGCATTTAATTATTAATGTCAGTGTATTGTATGAATGAGTGAATGGGTGAGGCATTATGTAAAGCGCTTTGATGGCCATTGGGTCTGTGAAAGCACTATATAAATGCAGTCCATTTACCATTTATTTAATTAGCATTTGTAGATATACTTTACCTCTTACTGTAACTCAACTATTACCCCAATATTACACTCTAACCCTATACCTTTACTCCCATTATAACCATACATCAAACCCATGTATGTAAAAAAGTAAATGTGGGAATTTTCCAGAACAACGTGTAGTAATCCACAGTCTTGTAGGTCTTTATTGTTAGTACATAGTTAAGGCCACCTCATATAAAGTGAAATGTCAAAATTTTGGGGAATAAAATGGCAAACTCATTTGTTTTGCAAAGGGAATTTCATAGCATTGATATATGGTAAATACACACACTAAAATGTTCATACTTGCATAATTTGTCAACATGAAAGGTTGACTTGCTATGAATTACAAATAAACTATTCTGTTCACAAGAGATATTTAGAGATATCAATGTCTCATATTTCCTTTGTCACTTGTGTACTAATGCTGATCAAAATAGGCCAATTCAATCTTTATAAGACAATTCATATTAGTAATTTCAAGAATGTTACATGTGCAAAACGTGTCAAAGTTGAATAGACAAACGACTTTTTTCCTTCCGTAGATGGATCCAATTATACAAGGTAGTAAAGAGACTGGCGCGCAATTGAAAACAGATTTTCGGTAGCTCAGGAACACATTCCCAAGCACACGCAATAATAATGGTATTTCAATCATATTTAAACCAAACTGACAGCATTAAGTACAAGATTTTAAATCATGTCATCTGCAAACATCAAGTTTAAATGCTTATATAAACAAATGTGCTGAGTTAACGGCGAGACTCGGCCAGATCTGGATCCCATGGTATGAGGAGATTATATGGGTAAGTTAGTGGACCAATTTACTATTAAAGTTCATGAAGTAAACATGTGACGGCGAAATACAAATGTTTATATATTTATTTACAGTGACTCCAAATCTAGTTCAGGTCTTAACGTCTCTAACGTTAACGTTACGCAAAGAAAGGACCGTTGAACACTGCTGTCCATTCTTAAGAAATACAAGCGGGTGAGGAGAAAATGAACTTCCGTAACAGTTTTCTTTAAAACACATATAAGTACGCATAGCCTACAGTTAAAAAAATGCATTGATATCTTTTATTGACAAAAATTAGATATAATCTAGTGTAGGCTAACGTTACCTGGCGCCCAGCTGCTTTCTCTCAGACGATCAAAGCCTATTTGACACTTTTTTTAGCCTACTTTTTCAACAAAAGAGTAAACTTTTGTGAGTCGTAGACGAATATAAAAGGCAGATCATTTTTATTTCCCCCTTACCTTTAGTTGTTAGTCGGTTTCTTCCCACACAATCTTAGCACAGTTTCATGCGGTTTGTATTTATGCACAGACCTGAAAAGCATCCAGAAAAGAATGGGATACCTGTTTCAGGAGACCTGCGAGACCCTGTATGAAGCAAAGAAAGGCACCTAATGAGCGGTGATAATGACTGTAATGGGAGTGAATTGCCAGCTGGACAGTCGTGCGGGTGGGAGAGAGACAGAGAGAGAGAGAGAGAGAGAGAGATGGGAAAGACGGGGGACGGGGGGAGAGGTGGAGCTGACATGTGGACGACTTCACTCGAATGAAAAAGGGGCAGGATTTATTTGAGGAAAAACACACATAGCCCTTTCACAGTTCAGGAAAAGATTTTCCTACTGTTCACATAACGGAACGTTCTTCTGGTCAGTCACGTTTTACGTTTGTAAAATTGCATGGAGGGGTTTTGAAAAAAACACGTTGCTAGTGATACAAGATTTAACAATAACGTTTCATTTGATAACATTATTTAACTATATGAACGTTATATAAGCATTCATTAATCTTAGTTAAAAAGTCAGCTTTTACTAATACATTATAAAATCAAAAGTTGAAGGGAGACTAGTAGGGACAGTGTCAACAGGTCTTATTCCTCCAATCAGAAAGTGCTGACACTCATACTGCAAATGCACTGTTAGATCCTCCCCCCATGCACCAAGAAGACAGAAGACATATTCAACATCTGCTGCTGCATTTATTGAACACAACTAGTTTTGGAAGTATGAGAGTATGGTTAATGGTTAAAGGTTAGTGTGTATCAGTAACTGTTATTTGATAAATATGACTAAATAATACAATAATATTATTTTATAAATAAATTATAATATAATATTATAATAAAACAGTTAATATTTTCAGAATTATAGTCTTTGAGACAAAAAGCTAAAGTTAATTAGTGAAATTTAAGGTATTTTTAACATGTTGCAACGGTCCCCTGGGCTGGGGTCAGTTGCAACATCTGGCTTCTTCTATTTGGACATTATTTGGCTGCTAGATATGTGATATGTATTCATCTTTAAATGGTATGGGTAATTAGCAGGGAGATGCAAGTTTAATATATACAAATTTGGTTGGTCTAGTCCAAATAATCAATGAGTAAGAGTAACTCAACCATACCCAGTCTCACTATCTGTATATATTATTTGATGGACCTGAGCTAACATGAACTAAAATGAACAGTTTATTTTTAACTGCATTTTTAACTAATGTTAACAAATAAATATTGTAACAAATATATTGCTCACTGTAAAGTGTTACCAGTTATAAATTCGATTTAAATGTTTCTGCCCGACTGCCTGCCCAAAGCATGAGAAAGCCTAATTATATTGTGATTTACCCAAGTAAACCCAGAAAAGTGCTATATAATAAATTCACAAATTATTTTTATTGACATCTTTTATTACAAAGAAAATGTAGTCATTTGTATTAAAAATGTACATTTTGTTGTAGAACACAATACGCAAGGCATAATATTTACTAGTGTAGGAACAAACTGCCTATTACTAGTACAGACATGAGCAATCAAGCAAGTAATATACAAAAGACTATGAGGAGATGGTAACAGAGCACATGTTGGTTTTGTGAATGTTACAGAAACAGGGACACCAAAATTATTCCAAAGGTAAAAAAACAAAACAAAAAAAAAACCGATATGACAGGCTCTCATCTTTGAAGAGGAGTATCCATATTGTAATATTTTTTGTTCACCTCCCTAATAATAGGTCAAAGTTTTGCTTGGTCCCTTTCTCTCTAATAGTTTTTTTTTATGCAAAATGCTGTCAAGCAACACAACACTTGTTTTCTACAGACCTCTACAGCATTTACGTTGCGTCAGTTAAATAAATAATAGAGGGGGGGGAGGGTGTGCTTGAATAACATCTGTATGCTTTTGAGTAAACGGCTGCTTGATGCAAAATCAATCCAGAACCATTTACAGTATAAGATGAGAGCTGACACATTTCAGTATGTAAAGTATGTATGTGTTGTGAGTGTAAGCTATAGACCAGATCTTATTGCTTTATTCTCATATCAGCTGTTGATTATGATATACCTTAATACAATACGTTGAAACAGTTTAAAGGGTTTAACACTTTTAAAGCTTTCAAGCAATTCCTAAAACTAGGATTGCCATGTGGTTTATCCTAAATTTTTTTACCTGAATGTATAATATTATTATAGTGACTATAATATCTTTGGTATGTGGTGGTAGATGACAGGGCTTGGTCTTTATAGTTGAGGGCATGGTCTGATATTTGAAGGCAACTTTGGTCTGTTTGCATAAATATGTCTTTTGGTAAAGATTGGTTAGTAGATCAAGATCTATTTGTTAATTCCAAAAGTGCACCAACCGCACCAAAATATCCCTGAAAAACACAAATAAAATGGTTATGAGTGATTTGTTTAGATATTGTTTGAGCTTTGGATGTATTATACAGACTCACACACACCTCATGTCGAAGGAAAAGGGCTTTGAGTTGTCCTTTGCTCCAGTAGTCCAAAGCATAAGCAAGCAACTTCATGGATAACGTGTTCACTCGCAGAAAGTTCCCAACAAACACCACTCTTTCAATGTTCTAAATAGAACAAACTCATGATAAGCATTCATCCTGAAAAAGCTATTTTTTTTAAAAGAGAACTTTCCAAGGAGTTGATTGGCCCCTGGTCTCTCATAGCCCTGTACAATGCTGCTTGATCCAGATTTCACAAGGCAGCACCGTAAAGAGGCTGACAGACAAGGGCTAGGACAACATAATAGCGATTTATAGTGTGGGTGTACATGTGTACCTCGTTAAGTGCACACATGCGTGTGATTGAGCCAATGTTGTTTGTGATGGTGATAAGTGTTGCTCTAGCCAGATCTGCCTTTGAGACAGAGTCTCTCTTCTCCTTACACATCATGTTTCCAAAGCTTCAAAAAAACATACATACACATTATATTGATTATGTGTGTCATAACAGAAACATTTTAAAATGATAACAGTATCCTATAATGAATAACAGACTGCTTGTTCCCGGGGGCAGGGTATATGTATATTTTAGGGTTGATGATGTCACTAACCCTGGAGGAATGTCGTGTAGTCTCTACCAGCTGTTTGTTGTAGTCCTTAAAAACTATTTATTTAAAAGCAAATATCTTCCTTTGCTTTGAACTTTGAGCATTGTAAATTTGCAGATGCTTATGCTCAAACAGCAACATTACACACTAACTAAAGTTAGAAAAGTGAAATCATAATCAACCACCCCTTTAACATCCATGGAGCCTTTCCATTGTACAAAAGGTTCTATATAGTGGAAACATTTTCTGTAGATTATTAAAATGTTATTCGCACTAAGGAAAACATGGCATCACTGCGACATGCTCCTTTTGGAACCTTTATTTTTAGGAGTGTACCATTCAAACGTTTGGGGTAAATACGATATATATATATATATATATATATATATATATATATATATATATATATATATATATATGAAGAGTTCAGATGCAAAAGCCTCTAAATGCCATTTGAAATTTTCTTCTTGAATGATGATTTTTATCAAACTTGTATATTTAAGTTCAGTAATTTCACTTAAATGGCAATGAAGATTACCTATTAATTGTCATTTAAGTGAAATTACTGAACTTAAATATCCAAGCTTGATAAAAATGGTCATTTTGGAAGAAAATTTCAAATGGCATTTAGAGGCTTTTGCATCTGAACTCTTCATATATGAATCAAAAAATATTAAGCAGGATAAGTGTTTTTAACATTGACAATGCTAAGAAATGTTTCTTGAGCACCAAATCAAGATTTCATGTGAAAGTGAAGACTGGAGTATTGGCTGTTGAAAATTTCACTTATTTTGAATTGTAAGCCAGTTATTATAGAATAATAATATATAAATATATATAACTATCATATATTATTATTCAATATTTTTTACAAATAGATGCAGCCCATTAAAGGGTTAGTTCAACCAAAAATTCTGCTATCATTTACTCACCATCATCCAAATCCGTAAGACAATCGTTCATCTTCGAAACACAAATAAAGATACTAGTTTGGAAGCTCAATTCATATAGATTAGTTTAACAATATCTTTATGAACTTTATAAAGCAACAAAGTGGTAGTTGCGTAGCTGTCAATGGAGTTAAAGGAATCTCTCAGATTTCATTGAAATTCTTATCTTCTTTTTTGTGTTTTGAGATGAACGAAGTCTTACAAGTTTGGAACAACATGAGGGTGAGTAATTGATAACAATTTTTTAAAATTTTGGGTGAACTAACCTTAAACATAAAAAACCATAACAAATGCCCTCAAATGTTTGAACTGTAGTGTATATGCCTGTACCTGGAGGCAACAGCCCATCCTGGCAAGCCAAATCGCTCATAGTCACCACCGTAGATGTCCCTGACTAGTTTATCTACACGTGTACTTTCCCCTTCAGTGGCCATTGCCAATGCCTCCTCAAAGGTGGAGCATCCAGTCAACAGGCAACACAGCCCTAGAAATGTACCACCACCAAGACTGGAGAGGAGATTGAGAAAAAATTACCATAGCTTTACAGTAAAACCCATTTTTATTTTGTTAAAGTGTTTTGTTAAACCTATTAGGAAATTAATGCAAAATTATAAAGCCATGACCGACCTGGTTCCAGTGACACGCTTGTAGTTGTCTTTGGAGTATACAGCCAGTATGCTGACACCTGAGCCAATGTTGACCAGCAGCAAAGGATAGGGGTTCTTCAGGTTGTATGCCCTCTGCTCGCAACAGTCAGGTTCCGTTGGGTTCTCAAAATAGTAACATTCGGATAGACCACTTGAGACCACCGAGTCAATGTACAGAACCCCCTTTATCAGACAGTCCAGCTCATCTAGCTTCAACAGCTGCAGATTGGCTATCTAAGAGAAGAGAGACAGCACAGTGAGCCATTGAGTTTAACAGATTGCATAGAGGAGGTCAAAGTGAAACAACGTGAGCTTGGACATACTGTACGGAAGTTATTCTCGTATTTAAATGCACCGCCTCCAGTGGCACAGAGGGTGGTGTGCAGACTGGAGAAGTGCTTGTCTCGGCCCATCTGCAGGAAGGTAGGCAGCTCGTGCGTAGGGAAACGAATGAAGTGCAGGCTGCCCTTGCGACCCCAAAGGGATAGGTCAGTCAGCTCCAGGTGGACATCTCGAATACCTGTTTTGCCGTAGGCGGTGTGTGAGGTGAGGTAGTGACGGATGCTTTTCAGACTCTCCACCTCCTCCTGCTCTTCTTCTGCTGTAATGTCTTTGGGCTCAAAGTAGACCAGCTTCACCAATGTGCCACCAATGTCCATGCCAAACCACGGAAAAGCTGGGGACCAATGACAGGTTAGTGACTTGAGTACCTTGTGCATGCTATGCAAGTAAACAAGAATAAAGATAAAAGCTTAGTTTTAAATAAATTGAAATGTAGTTTGATTAACTTGTATATTGGTTATTCATACAATCACTTGGGCAGGGCTAAATGGTGGCACTTGACAATGTCAACACTACAAGGAGTACAATTGCCAAATTTATTAATATTAAATATTAGTTTAATAGGTTATTATTACAATTATTGTAATTGTGTTATAATATCAAAACGTCTGAGATGGCAGATGCACATACACACCTGCTGTTTTGGGTACACCTATTCAACTGCTTGTTGGTGCAAATAATCTAATCAGCCAATCACATGGTGATTTAAGTGACTTTGAAAGTGGTGTGGTTGTTGGTGCCAGACGGGCTGGTCTGAGTATTTCAGAAACTGCTGATCTACTGGGATTTTAATGCACAACTATGTCTTGGGTTTACAGCGAATGGTATGCAAAAGATAAAATATCTAATGAGCGGCAGTTCTGTGGGTAAAAATGCCATGTTGATCCCAGAGGTTAGAGGAGAATGGCCAGACTTGAAGGGCAACATTAACTCAAATAACCACTCATTACAACCGAAGTGTAGAAGAACATCCAAGTCGAACGCACAACACGTCAAACCTTCAAGCAAATGGGCTACAGCAGCAGAAGACCACACCAGGTGGCACGCCTGTCAGTTAAGAACAGAAAACTGAGGCTACAATTTGCACAGGCTCACCAAAATTGGCCAAACGAAGATTGGAAAAACGTTGCCTGAGTCTCTGTTGCAAGATGGTAGGGTAAGAATTGGCTTTATGAACAGCTTCACTACTTCCTGAATTTCAGCCAGCTCCTTGTTTCCTGTCTGTCATTATTGGACACATTGATTAATTCAGGTGTGCTTGACCTCAGTAGTCACGGCAACAATAATCAGACACACCTGAATTAATCAATTTTGCCCAGTAATGGCAGACAGGAAACAAGGAGCTGGCTGAAGTTCAGGAAGTAGTGCAGCTGTGCATAAAGCCCATTTGGCATAAACAACATGAACGCATGGATCCATCCCACCTTGTATCAACTGTTCAAGCAGGTGGTGGTGTAACGTTGTGGGGGATGGTTTTTTTTTTTGGCACACCTTGGGTCCCATAGTAACAATTGGGCATTGTTTAAAATCCACAGCCTACCCGAGTATTGTTGCTGACCATGCCCATCCCTTTATTACCACAGTGAACCATCTTCTGATGACTACTTCCAGCAGATCATCTCAAACTGGTTTCTTGAACATGACAACATGTGTAATCTGCAGTAACTGTGTAACGCTATCATGTCAAGGCATTTCTGAAGGCAAAAGGGGGTCCAATCCAGTACTAGCAAGAAGTACCTAATAAAGGGGCCAGTGCATGTGTGTGTGTGTATATATATATACAGCGTAACGTTATATACTTCTGCACAATTTTACTTTAGTGTTGGGTCGCAAATTATTGTCCAATATAAAAATAAAATACCTGAAAATTAGTTAATTTGCTTATTAAATTAATGAACTGGAAATTAGACTGTATCAATTCCTTGCGCACATTTGATTTTCTGAATTGTGTAACATTTATTTCTAAATCCAATCATACATCATCTATCATTTAAACAATATTTAATTCCAGGACTATTGCTTATTTTGTTTTTGCAGATTAAAAGGAACCTCCGATTTGATAAGTGTTAATCGATATTAATTGTAAGCGTACACAATTGACAATCTTGCCTATCAAATATCTGACTACAGGTTTTATTTATTTATATTCGACATTTTTATCACCATGATGTGAGCATGAGCTCCGTTAACCCCGTTATCGCCATAACACAAGATGGTTCACCTACGCGGCCTGTTCTTTTTCTGCGAATCGAGCCTCAGCATCGCCGGCGTCGATTTTGACATCCGCTGCTCTATGGGTGCACTGCCACCGGCCGCTGCGCTGCTTGCTCCCGGTGTAGCAATTATGCTACATGACGTCTCCGTCTTTGATCGAGACAGCTTGAGCGCTATCGATTCTTCCTCTTGCTCCTCGGCACATCCCTCGCCGTCACAGTTAAAGCCTCCATTCAGCTCCATTATGTCGTTTGACAAAAATCTCTACATTGATTGTCAAGCAGAAAAATCACCGTTAACACATATAAATGCATTGTCACTATGTCATTTTGTTATTTAGGTCGCTATAGAAAATGTTTACGTCGCTGTGTTTACAACAGTTACTCGAGTCACCAATGAATGTGCTTCTCCTGACAACTGAAATCGCATCGAGCCAATCAAGTTCTCAGTATACATTGGCGATAAAGTTATCTTCATCACCAGCAGATGGCGCGCTTCACAATAACAACACTACACGCATCATCATCGAATCAACAAGCTTATGATGACTGACCAGAAAGACACAAGGTAAAACATTTTATTTCAGAAGCATTCCTGCCTGGAGATCATTAAGACTGCACATGATTAAGAATGACCAGTACACACCCAAAAAAAAAAAAAAAAAAAACCCGAGAAAGTTTAGCATAAGTATAAATATTTCCGTAAAATAAAGGCCCAGAGTTAATACCGGTACTTAAAAATATCAGTAGTAACGATCCCACACAGTGCATTTAAAATCATGTTCAATCATACATGTCTAAACTTCATATCAAAAAGTGTAGATACAAGTGCAATTGCTGATTAAAATATAACATGTAGGCCTAGTTTCACAGAAAGGGCTTAGATTTGGACAGGATTGGGCCTTAGTTATGTTAGAACATTTAATTAGCTAATATAAACGTACCTTTAAAAAAATATTACTCGTGTGTATTTTGAGACAAAACAATGCCACTTATATATTTTAAAGATATGTCAGTGCACGTTGCTTTCAATGAAGACAGCTTGCATTGTAGTTTGGGCCTAGGCTTAAGCCTGGTCTGTGACATTGGGCATTAAAGTGCACTCTGTTAATTATAAAAAAGTCATAAAAAATGTATGCAATTTATACAATTTAAAAAATGCATTTGACAAAAATGATGTATATATAGTGGTGGAAATGGCCTATATTTAATGGGAGGGGGACACAACATATATTTTAAAATAACAATTATGTATGAAATTTGAATAGCGTATAGAGGCTATTTAATGGATTTCCTACCCTTGAAGATTGTTCCTCCCTCCCACCAAAAAGTGTGCATGTGTGTATGCTTGGATGTTTCAGTAAAATAGAAAGTGTCTGTTGGACAGTCTCACAGGTCAAACTGCCTTCAAAGTACAGGACAGTGATGAATTAAATAGTTCACTGAGGTGTCTGTGAATGAGGTGTCTGTGAATGAGGATTCACGAGAAATAAGAAACATTTGAGAACAAAAACTGCTGCAGAATCTCCCGTGAGGGGGCTAACGGAGAGGGTTGGAACAACTGTACAGTCTATAACATAATGCTTGAGAAAGTGCTCCAAATGAGCTTTCTATTATTGTCCAATAGAGGTTATGCAACAGCTCCTTATATTCATGTCACACAGGATATATTCTTGCCATGTTATACAATTGACAATACAACCAATGGTTGTACAATGTCAAGATAGTTGTACAATGATACAATGATGATAGTCAAGATAGTTGTACAGTGTCAATACAACCAATTGTTGTACAATGTTGTACCTGTCAAGATAGTTTCTACAAATTATTTAAAAAGTACATGACACTCCATTTATTATCAGTGAATCTGATTTTACAGGTGCAACGGCAGTCAAATTCATTAAAGGCCTTGCCCTGGCATGCAAGGAAGGCATGCATTAGGCACATGGCAGACAAGTACTATATATAGCCCCAAACATATAAATACATAAGGTTGAAACCACAAAAGAGTTTGGTGACAGAAGTTATGTAGGATTGAAGGCAAGATTTTCAGTGAGTAACTAAAATTTCAGTCTGCTCCGGCTTTAAAATACTTGGTATATAGTGTTATGGTATGTTTTGTCATTTTTCTAAACTTGACAGCAGAAGTTACTATCCACTGTTGTTCTTTGGAAAAGAGCAGCCTGGACATTCTTCTTAATAAGTCCTTTTTGTGGTTCTTCAACAACAAAAAATTGATTTATGGGTTTCATGAAACATGAGGGTGAGTCTATAATGAAAAAAAAATATATATTTTGGGGTGAACTATCATTTTAAGACCTTTTCAGTTATTGCTTGATCTTCCAGGCCAAGAAAACAGCAGACAGAGCAACCCCAGCAGCTGTAGCAGCAGCAATGAATTGGAAGTTGTTTAACCTGAATAACTTTGCACAGCCCTCTTCTCTCAGCTCTGGCTGTTGAATAGTTGCTGGCCTAGCATTAGATTCTTGCTCTTGGTAGTTGATGTTGGCTGACTTCTTCTCTGAATCATGCCCAGATGGATCACTGGGAGGAACTACATTTTCTGTGCCACTATGGTTCAGGGTATGCTGGTCTCGGCTACGTTGCAGCATGCTTGGTGGCTGACCATTCAGATTTTCAGCAGGTGGCTCCTCAGAAAACCGGATTACGTTGACCAGTGTCCGACTATCACAGAAAGATTCGTAGTGGTCTTCCTCTGGCTGGTTGGGTGTTGAAGGAGCAGCAATGTAATTTAAGGACTGAGAGGCAGAATCAAGGGAGGTATAGGGAGTGGAGGTCTGCTCTGCAAGACTAGGAGACCGTCGAGGTTCTGTGGAACACTCTGTTTCTCTGCTGATCTCCAAATCTCCTGAAACAACTGAGCAAGGCTCTTCTGGGACGTCAGGAAGAGTCTCTGCTCTGTTCTGCTGGGGTTCTGGATGCTGAAGGATGCCAGGTTTGCTGAAATATTCCTGGTCGATGGAAGAGGGAGAGTCATCAGTAGGTGCAGATGATGTTGCCTGACCTGTTCTAGTCGAATTTGTTTGGCCATTCAAAACTGGTAATCCAGCAGTGTTGTTCCTCTGAACATGCTGCAGAGAAAACAGGCACAGGATACAACAGATTAACCATTGAAAAACTGAGAAAGGCCTACTGAGGAAGTTTTTTATATAATGGAATCATTGCGATCACAACTCGTAATAATTGCTTTAATGAGCGAATTTTTTCTGCCGAAATGAACACATGATGTTAGCTAACTACATGATTTGTTTCATCTTATAACTGTACATTCTCACTTATGGACATTACCTAGGCACACATTTTACATCTGATAAAAGATTACTCTAAATCAAATCAGGGGTGGGCAACGTTGGTCCAGGAGGGCCACTATCCTGCAGAGTTTAGCTCCAACCCTGAAAAAAAACTCTCACCTGATTGCAGCCTTAAGCCTAGTTCACACTACATGATTTTAAGCCCAGATTTGCAAATCGTTAAGCTCACCGACAGGTCAGGGTGTTATCGCGTGCAAATCGCTGGGGATTAGCAGACGATGAACGTTCGCCAATCCGTTTGTATGAACAACATGACATCATGACTTTTGCGTAAACATATACGCCACTTTCGAGTCAGGTGGCGTGTCATCTCTACGCATTTTGAGCTATCCGCATGTATGCGTATATGTCTACGCCATTAACGTCCGCGTCATTCCGCGTGTCTGTACACCCAGTCATAAATGCCATTAACCCCAGTGACGGTTAAGTTTAGGGATGGGGTTGAGGTAAGTCATACCTTTTTTTTATACCTAGGATGGTAAGGGAACAGTCATAAATGCCATTAACCCCAGACTCCAGTGACGGGTAGGTTTAGGGACGGGGTTGAGGTAAGTCATATATTTATATAACATTAAGTCGCTGAAAGGCGATTATGCGTCTTGATAGCACGCCAAAAATGGAAATACGAATTGGCGTGTCACACACGCTACTTCATGAGATCAGTCTGGTATGAAAGAGCCAACAACGCATCAAAGATGCTCGCAGACGTGTCGCCGAGCCCAGAAAAACATCTAGCATGCTAGATATCTAGAGCTGTCGCACGACTCGCTACAGCCAATCAGAATATGGCATGAGTTGAGGTCACCGGTTAAATCAAATTTTTTTCTGTTTTTGCGGGGGGGTTTTTCTCAGAGCAAATCATCGCGCAAACAGTTTGCAGCATTGTTTCTGTCTGACGTCCATATGCGCGGGTTGTGTTCTTCGTCGTCTTCGCTGGGTTTTGGCGCACGTGCTGTTTCGCGTCATTTCCGGTTCGTTTTATCGCGTGATTTTTCGTGACAAAACGTGGTTTGTAGACAAGATAGAATCGTTGGGTGACAGAGTTGTTGTCAGCTTGTGTAGTGCGTTACCTCCTGTTGCGGATCAATCACGTTGTGTCGTGTGGTGTGAACAGCTCAACAACTTGAACACTCCTGATTTCACAGAGAGCAAGTCATGTAGAACCGCATAGTTCAGCCCGACGTTTTAAAATCATGAACTAGGCATTAGTGATCCTGAAGACATTGATTAGCTTGTTCAGGTGTGTTTGATTAGGGTTGGAACTAAACTCTGCAGGATAGTGGCCCTCCAGGACCAACGTTCCTCACTCCTGCTCTAAATTGTAATGTAGATTTTTGTTAAAGCTGCTTTGAAATAATATTTATTGTGAAAAGTGCTATACAAATACTTGTAAACTGAATTAAAAAACAAACTTGCTATATCATAGCTTTTAGCGAAGAACAACAGTGGAGTGCTTTGGTTTGAGCATTACCTCGTTTGCAGTTGGGTCAGAGATCTCTTCAGGCCCCTGAATTGTCCTTTCCTCTCTCATTGGGAGATTAGTTTCTTGGACAGGGACATTCACAGATGTGTTGGTGTCCTTGACTGCGATTGCCACTTGGATCTTCTCTGACATCTGAGAACTCTGGGAGGTGGTGCAAGGCTGTGTAATTTGAATTTGAGAGGTGTTTGAGGAGGATGCTTGAGCACTTGAGGTGGAGAGGAGAGTTTCACCAGTTGATGAGGAGTTGGTGGTTTGTTCTGTTAAAGCCAAGCCATCTGGAGTATCTAAAACAGGCGTTTTGTTCACAGCAGGCCCTGTGTGGGTTGGGACTTTGGAGACTGAGACTTCAGCAGGGGGAGGTGTTTGGGAAGGAGCAACAACCAGAGGTGCATTTTCAGCTGGGCATACTGGTTCAAGAGAAGGTGCTGGAACCGGAGTAGGAAGTTTTTGCACTTGCTGTGTCTCTGGAACTTCGAGAACAGGAGCAGGAGCAGGAGATGGTTCTGGTGCTGCCATGTTGGAAAGGGTAGCTGAATGTGCTGGGACGTCCCCTGCGGGTGGAATCAGCAAAGAAGAAGTGGTCGCTGGGACAGTATGAATTGTTGCTGTGATTACGGTTGCTGGGGCACCAGCTGGAGAATGAGAAGGAGCTGGAGTAGGTGCAGGTCTGGGCACAGGAGCAGCAGAAGCTGCATTATCTATAGACAAAACATACAAAAAAGGCATTCATAAATCATGTCCCACCTATTCAAAATTTACTTTGAACACAAGCATGATAGCTCTTACCTGTGATTCCTCTAATCGTGTCATAAGCAGTTCTCATCTCAGCGGCCAGTTCCTTATGTTCACAGTTCTCCAGGGCAGTGATGAACTCCTCTGGCCAGTTATCTCGTCTGCATAGATTGTCCAGAAGTGTCTGCACAGCAGTGTAGTTTCCAGAAGTTTCTCTCTTGGCTTCGATCTCTTCCTGCAAAAACAATTTCGCTAACTGAGCTTTTCACTCTTGCATATCTGGTTATAATGGCAATGTTATGTGTGGTTAATGTGATCTGGCTTACCTTATCAGTGAGTGTGAGGCATGGCAGGTGAGGTAAGATAGCTTTCACTTTGATCGTTAATGAAAAGCGAGCCGAATTTGGCCTGATCGCTTTGTTATAAAATTGTTCACGTGTCAATGCCATTTTTGCACTTCGAAAGAAAGAGTGATAGAAAAAGAGTTTTATTTAGTGATTTATTGTCATCAATTACACTAAATAAAAACACATACTTGAATATAAGTACCTGTTTTAAACAGTTAAAATCAACAGCCTCTTCTTTGTTTCCTTGAATCTGGACTCCAAATTAGCCCTGGGAAAAGAAATAGATTTTTTTTTTTTATTCATTCAAATCTTTGTGGTGAAACCCTTAAAAAAATTCATGTGAAGGTTACCTGTGAATTGGCTTAAATTATCATCAGCTAGGCAGAGTATAATCTACTGACAATGCGAGAAATATAATCCACCATGAATGGCACTTCTGAAACTAAAAGTGAAAGTGAAATTGGTGTATATTGAGAATTTTAGGGAAATCCTTAAGTTTCCATTTGGCCTTCATTAAAAAAAAGGCTTTCAAACAGAACAGAAAAATGAAAACTCATTTGACATAACTGCAATCTTAAACCAGAAATAAATGTTTTTGAAATGTAGAGTAGATGTGATGAATGTAAAGCAGATCATTTTTGCAACATTTACTCATCAGAACAGGGGATGTCCCTGAATAAACTCACAGGAGTACAACATTATTCACTATATTGGGATGCCAGGGCCACACCATGCCCCACCCGACCAGTTAACCTACCCTTAAAGAAAACTTTTGCTGATAATTTACTCACCCCCATGTCATCCAAGATGTCAATGTCTTTCTTTCTTCAGTCGAAAAGAAATTAAGGTTTTTGAAGAAAACATTCCAGGATTTTTCCAGGTCCCAAACCCCACCCACCCCTTAATATTAAAATAAATTATTTGATGTTCTTGATGTGGATGTTTAAAGTATTTCTAAATTGTGCCATCATGTAAAGAGTACATATCTATTGTATGTTATTTTGGGACAGACAGATCAGATCATCTACCTCATATAATGACAGTTAAACAATATCTGTGCTAAGCTTCTGAGCACATGTACAGTATACATGTAAATAATTTCCATTTGTTAAACATTTTACCATTTAAACATTTAAATAATTTGCACTTAAAATGGTCATTAGTAGGCATATTATCTAGAACTGCACAACAAAGTGACCTTGAAATGGATGAATAATTTAGTATTTCTGTTTGGTAGAGAGCACAAAACTGATGTGACCTGGACATTACCCAGCTAGTGGAAAAATTAATGATCTCCAAACATCAAAGCATAAACTATTGATGTTCAAACAAATGAGCCCACAAATACAATCCTACATTAGACAAGATTGCCAAAGCAGACAAAGTCACACAAGCATCACCTGCATCTGTGACACATGGCAATATTCAGTGTGATATGTTTACGCTTTACGCATCTAGTTTTCAATTCTCCTTATAGCCAAAAGGAGCATTCAAGCAGTCAGGTTCAATCGACAGAATAACGGTGAAGTGGTCATCAGAGACTTTGGTCTGTTTGCACTTAAACAGCTCAGCAATTATAATCTGTTGTCAGATTCAATGACAGTGCAGCTCGGCACTGGCAGGTTAATCCACAGTTCATGTCCCTCAAAGGTCAAACATGAAATGTTTTTTTACTGGAACAGAGCCATGTGTAGGCCTATCTGTCATCTTGTATGATAACAGGGACATGAGGGTCCATTCACTCTTCCAATAAAGACACACTAAACTAGACAAGCATGTGCTGTCCTTCCTCGGAGCTAATGTGCAGCCATCCAGATTCAAGACTATTCACAGTTTTTAATAAATTATTATACGGTTTAAAGCACGAGGTTGAGGTCACAATGACAGACTTTTTAATTGGCTTCTGTTCAAGGAAACTGGCAAACCTACTCTCATGAAGAATGTCCTCTAAACGACCGTATCGTTTTCCTGTAAAGTTTTGAAGAAACCTTGTCAAGTACTTTGAGGTCACCAGGAAGCACCTACATGTCTTGGATATCCAGTATACCACACTTTAATGCAGATATGCTACATTGTGCCTGACTTAGAACAACAAAGAACAAACCTTTGAATCCCGAGCAACCATTCTAAACAAGCAAATATGCAAACTAATTAGATAACATGCATTGTAAATCGATTTTACGGGGAAACATACCAAACGCGCATAAAATTATAACATTTTGAGTTTATGCGACGGGTAATGTTATTGCATCCGGCTGTAAGGAGAACCCTTAGCATAACTGGTGCGAGACAACGAGAGCTTTATGCATTTTACACATGAAACACAAGTAGGCCTACAGTAGCCTATAAATAACGCACATAATAACTAACATTCCTGAAATGTAAAGTTTATATGAACGACTTACCCTTTAGAGGAAGGTCAGTCTATCAATTCTTTCGCAGACTGAGGCACTTTCGATATGCACGTCTTCGTTCCAGCATTTAAGGCACAACCCTCCCCTGTCATCACACGATGTTTGTCTTTTTCATTGGATCTCCGAACTGTGTTTCAACTTGTTACAATACGCCACTAAATTCTCGTATTTCCGTGTTGCTAAAATGATTTTGGAATATTATTGGAATGGGTCGACTTTTAAAACCTTATTTGTGGGCAGGTGGCAGGTGTAGTGATCTGAGGGGACAAAACTATGGTCGAAATTCGAAAGAAAACTAAAATGATGCCTGGTCAGATAGACTTTGAAATGCATGATTACATATTTTAATTATACAGCTCTTAAAGGTATGGTAGCTGTAAAAGCTGATAAAGATGCCACTGACTGATAACTCTCCGAGGGAACGACATGAACGTGATAATACTTTTAGTTATGGGTCTAAGTCCCTCAAACCAAAGTTTTTGTGGCCCGGGTGATATTGTCACCAACAAAAATATATATTATTAAATGTGGTTGTACAGCTTGAGTGCACTCACTGCGCAGACGCGCGTTTTCAGACATGCGCGTTTATGCTTGCACTGTCTATGCTCACTGCAGAGTCAAATGACGACCAGCTCCTCCTCTTTGGAGCTCCAATGGGGTGGGATTAGTCCTGCTCCTGCTAGTTGTATATAGGGTTAGGGTGTGGTGGGATATTTTAGCTCCATCCATGATTAGATCTATGGATTAGACCCAAATTTGTGAAAGTGAGTGCCATACTTTGTTTTAGACCACACCCATGAAAACAACAATGTACTCTCGTTTGCGCTTATGTGCTGAACCTTTATTGAAGTTGTATGGAATTAATGAGGAGAAAAAGAATCGAAGAACTTTCATGCTGCTTCTTCATGTCTCACTTGAAAATGTATGCACTGTTAACTTAGTTAAAATAAGTTCATATTGCTCTGTTGGCATTACTATTTTTTTTAGTTTTTAGGAGATTTTTGAGTTTTTATTACTTTTTTGTTATATACCTGTAAATCAATGCAACTAATTTACATGCAAAAGTTGTTTTTACGTTAAAAATAATTTACGTTTAAAGCAAGGCAAGGCAAGTTTATTTATATAGCACATTTCATACACAGTGGCAATTCAAAGTGTTTTACATGGAAGAAATTAAAATAATCAAAAGAAGTCAGAATAATTAAAACAGTTTAGAATAAAAAAAATCATAATAATAAAAATAAAATACAGTGTCAAAAATAAATTGAAGTACAGTAACAGTCGGACGAACAGTGGCACAGTGCTCATTCAGTAAATGCAATCAATATAAATAAAAACAGTTAAGAGTAAAAATAAAATAAAATACAGTAATACCCCTATCTGAGATGGAAGGGATTGAGTTGGTTTACGGTGCTACTGGGCCTCCAGCCCATGGGACTTCTTATACTCTCAGCAGTAACTTACTTCTTCACTCACCTCATCGGAGTGAAGACTCTCCCGCTCTCCATCAAAATCTCTTCCAGTGTATACCCCTATCTGAGATGGAAGAGATTGAGTTGGTTTACGGTGCAACTGGACCTCTAGCCCAGTTATTTTTGTGCAGAGACAAGGTCGAACGAAGGGGGTAATCCACCAGCCGGAAACTGAAGTCTCTCTCTGGGCTGCCATTGGCTAACAAGCCTTCACCTGCTGTTAGCATTCCATTAACTCCAATTCATTTTGGCGTCACTTTGACCTCGAATAACTTTACACCTGAGGCGTTTAAAGACTCCATTTGTCCATTGTATATTTCTATAGAAACACAACAATGTATAAAAGGCTCTATTACCTTGTATCTTATGTTATGGCCCCGCAGAAGCAGTTTTTGTAAAAATAGGCTAAAGAATGCGTCATAACACAAAACTCTCTGTCTGTCGCACAGTAGACAAGTGACCACACAGACAGAAGTAGAAGCTCGTGCGCAATCGGGGGCACGTGGTGCATAAAGTCAAGAGAGAAGCCCATCGAGAGTTGTAAAGTTGCTCCTGCTGCTGCTCATGGACAGCTAATATTTACGATCTTTGTCTCTGCAAGATAATTGTAAAATTAATTAATTGTAAAGGTTACCTTAACAGTTTTTGAGTCCAGTAACACATAGGTTAAAAACGATCAAACTGATAAAATATAAGAGCGCGCTGTCAAAGCAAAGCAAAGCAGGGCCGTAAAGACGCTGCTCAACCCATATTCTCCAGCAGGGGGCGTTCACCTCCACATGTGACTGAGTGAGTGTAGCAAACAGACTCGATGCATGCTATCCTCACGTTTGATGTGTGCATATTACCAAGTTAATTTATGTACTTCAGTCAATTTATTATGTTGGTTGAGATTTATTACGTTGGTTGGTTTTCCATTTCTTTTCTCCATCTTGTCTCTATCCTGAATTCCCACGCTGACTGGTTCTTTCACCCTCTTCACATGGTCATCGCTATTATACTATAGAAAATCCATTAATAATAATATGAGAATGTCTCCTGAGGCTACAGCCACCAACTCTAAGTATGTGTCTACAAATGGGCCACTTAAGGTAGAATGCTGTGTACTAATGTAACAAATGTGCTTATGTTTAGCTAAAACAAACAAGGAAAATAACCTACTTAAATATTGTATAACAGTTCCTTTTCATACTCTCTAAAGTAAATACATTGTGTAGTGAATAAATATTTGCTGTAATATCTGCTGTAAATACTGTTGGCATGAATATCCGTACTAATATTTTCAAAAGTAGTGGCATGTTCTCAAGAAATATATGTATATATAATACACATAGAGACTTGGCATAAACCAACAACAACAACAAAATCTGCAAAGCTACTATATAGGTTATAGATTAGCTGTACAAAATAATTTCAGTTAAGGTCCCATCTAACTGAAGAGCTTCTAATTACACATATACAGTACAAATGCATTTGCATGTATTACAAACACATTTGTGGTGATTATTCATTGCTGGCATATTGTATGTCACAGTATAGTTCACTCCTTGAAGAGTAACTGAGTGTATTTTGTATAGGCTTTTAACTGAAAGAACTGTAACCTTTTAAAAGCACCTCTTGCAAAAAGCACCTAAAGGTAATCATCCATTCGGCACTAATAGAGCCTACACTAAACAGCATCCAATGTGAGCTCTTGACTGATAATACAGCATGCTCACATGGTTTTTGTTGGCCACAGTCTTTCCTTTCATCTTTTTTCATCACATATTTTGATACATATAGGTCCTACAGTGTATACCTGTATAGTCTCTGCTGAATAATCCAGCATTGTGGGTCACCAGCATAAGGTTTTGCATGCTGGGACCAGCATGAGAAGCTATGTTTCTGGTACCAAGGTACACCAGCTCAGTTTTTGCTTGAGAACAGGTTG